TGTTGTAAATATGACATAAATATATGATACTAAATTACTACTAGACTGAGCTCCAGAACTGCACAAACCAAAAATTAGCATTGTAAGAACTTGACTTGAATTAATTCTGAAGCTAACTTGATCAAATCTCGAACTCACAGGTAACTAAGCCAATACAGACTTATGCACTGTGGGAAAGCTAAGGGTTCATCTAGTATTATTGTGTGTTTTATGTTTTTAAAAATTTTGTTTTATTTTATTTTATTTTATTTTTAATTTATTGAATTTAAAAACATGTTTGGATAAAATGTTTTTATTTTCAAAAATGTAAAAACAAAAACATGCAAGAGAAAGTGGTTAAAAATTTTAAGCTTCATTTGTTATTAATAATATTTATTAATATATTATTTATTTATTATATATTATATTATTTATTACTATATTATATTAATATTATGTTATTAATCTAATATATGATTAATATAATATTTATTAATAAAATATTATTTTATTAATATAATAATTATAACTTATTATAGTGGTTAATTGTAATTTCTGTAAATAGTTTGTGTGGAATAGTGCCAAACTATTTTTAAAAAGCTAAACCTATTTTTGTTTTCAATTAAAAAAAAAAAAGGAAAACAAAAAACGGAGACATCACCATAAGTAACAAACTGGACAATAAACAAAAGGAGTAAAGAATTACCTCAAGTGTGGCAGCCCAAACGGAGACAAATAAACGCCGATCCCATAAAGATCAGTCAAGGGAACCCTGCCGAGCAATCCAAACCCATGAACCAAAATACTCTCCACGACCTTGGCAGACGCTCCATACCATGCAGAAACCATATTTGTAGTGCCTCTTGCAGCCCTAGTAACCTCAATCTGCTTCTGAAAAACCTCGAGCCGAGCCTTAGCAAAATGCCCTTCCCCCTCATACTGATGAATCGAAGTAAGCCTAACACCAGCATCAACTTTCCTTATTCCGTTCAAGAAATGATCCTTAACAAGCAAATAATCTCTCATTACTTCACTCAACAGCTTCGTATTAGGCCATTTAGGAGCTCCTTCCTCCTCCAAAAGAGGATGTTTAGTGGAACTCACTTCAGCCTCCTCCTGCCGCTTTCTCTTCGATGAACTTGGATCAATCTTAACTTCAATCTCAATCTTAGGATAACAAATGTTATTCTTAGTTTTGTAATTGCAGATAATATTATCATCCTTTTCGTTTTCATTTTCGAATTCCATAAAGTCTTCTTCGCTGAAAACCTCTTTAGGAAAAAAACACTCGTCATTTTCATCGATCCAAGAAATTGACCTGCAATTTCCTGTCAGGTAATCAGTCTGAATCATTTTCTTGAAATCAAAAATATACTTTGCTCCGTCGACCGATGCTTCGATAATTGGTTTCCGCTCCACGAAACAGGTTTTCAGTGTTTCTACAACATCGGCCGAGAAATTCATCCATGAACCATTGCGATAGTACATGAGCCGCGACGGAACCGTGCTTCGTCCGAAGTTCGCGTTGTTCTGATTGAAAACTCGTTTCAAGGTACTAGATTGGACGCCGCATCCGCCAACGATGCATTTTTCTTGATTTTTCGTTGAGGAGGAAGATGACGGTAGAGGGGGAACCGTGATCCTAACGGACCCCTCCGGGCTCTTCGTCGATGCCGCCTTTGTTGCTCCTTGTTGAGCCATTTGACCTCCTTGGAACTATAAAAACAAAATGTCTTAAAAAGTCTGAAGCAATAAACAGCAGAGGTTGTAGGAATATTAGTGAAAGTAAAAAAAAGAACCCACCCTATTTGAAGGCGCTGAAAACATTGCGTGTAGAATTTGGACTTGGTTTACAGATAAATTACAAAATTAGGTCTCCTTTCCATGACAGTTAAGGCAAGTTTAAGGGTATTTTTTTGATAACGTAAAAAATTTGTGACGGTTATGGATTTCTGGACAGAGAAGAATGTCTTGCGGGCTACGTAGCCGTTTTTTTCATTTACTTAGTTGTGCCACGTCGGATTTTGCTCACTCGCCAATTTGTTCTTTCTTCGGCCCAAAGGAAATTTAATTAGAAAAAAAGGGTTAACCAAAAAATCTTCCTACTTTTGACTTTCCATTTGTAATCGGGCTGTTTCAAATCGCCGTCATTAGCCATCAAATAAAATTTTACTAAAGCACCCATTTTTTAAAAAATAGCAGAGTAATTTGACATATATTAATATTTTTATTATAAAATATCATATTAATCAATGATATTGGATATTCATTAACATTTTTATTATAAAATATAATTTTAATCGGTCATTAGATGCCAATTAACATTTTTTTATTATAAAATTGATTTTACTAAATAGTGTTTTAATTAGAAATTTGAAAAGCAGTTAATATTATTTTTAAAATACAGTTAAAAAGTGCTTAATTATAGATACCAATTAAAAATATTTAAATAATTATTTGATAAATAATGTGTTGAAAATAAGCTATATAAGGATTATTGGATTACGGTTAGTAGGATTTATTGTTTATTATGTTAACTTGAAGCTACAATTTTATCTTTAAAAAAAAAAAAAACATTTTAACAAGAAAAATGACTTTCAACATACAAAACGACTTTTACTTATAAAGCCAAGTTAGATAATGATTATTGGATTATGGTTATTAGGATATATTGTAATGTTAATTAGATTACGATTATTATGAAATATTATTTGCATGATAACCTTTGAGATTTAAAGTCATTATTTTGTGATTTAAGAAAATGCACCCCAACAGGAGAAATGCGACGTTTGTTTAAACAACCACAATCCTCACCCTTGGAAAATAAAAATAAAAAAATTTAATATGACTTTGAAAATCATTGTTGATAATAATATTGTTGTTAAAAATAAAATAATATATATTTCTCTCCTTTATATATAACTAGATGAATATCTGCGCATTATTATGAGTCAAAATTTTTTATTTTATTATTTCTATTAATCATTTTTTTTTTGTAAAATTTTTCAAATAAAAAAATGAGATGTAAAAAAAAACAAATTGGGGTGACATGTGAATACTTCCATTAATTTCATTTGCTTGTAGAATTTATCTAATAAAAAAACCAAACTCTTAAGAAAAAAAAATGAAAAGGGGAAAAATGAAAAAAAAAATTAATATGAATTTGAAAAATCATTTTTGATAATAATATTGTTACTAAAAAATAAGATAATATATATTTCTCTCTTTTATATATAACTAGATGAATATCCACGCATTATTGCAGGTCAAAATTTTTTTATTTTGTTATTACTATTAATTGTTTTTTTTTTTTGTAAAATTTATCAAATTAAAAAAAAAATGAAAGGTAAAAAAAAAAAACTAGGGTGACATGTGGATAATTCCATTAACTTAATTTTCTCAAAATTTATCTAATAAAAAAACCAAACTCTCAAGAAAATTAAAAAAAAAAAAAAGTGAAAAGGGGGAAAAAAAAAACTCATAAAAAGGTGTTGTGCGGACAATTCTAATGAATTTAAATTATTAATTTCTTATTATAAAATAATTTACTAAAAAGCGTCTTAATTAAAAATTTAAAAGTAGTTAATATTAATTTTAAAATCCTGTTAACAAGTGCTTATAAATACCAATGGAAAATAGTTAAATTACTATTTCATAATAATGTGTTATAAATAAGTTACATAAAAATTTTTTAGATTTACGCTTATTAGGATATATTATTTGTTATGATAACTTGAAGGTTTACCCACGATTTTATCTTTGAAAAATAAGGCATTTCAAAAAGAAAAACGATTTTTATTTATAAAGTCACCATTCAATTATTGACTATTAAATGTGAGATTTTTTTAAATACTAGCTTAGTTAATAGTGTAAATTTTGTATTTTTTTAGCATGTTATGACTTTCTATAGATAGTGTCATATTGATAGAATGGATCGACATTATTAATTTAAGAATGTTGAATTGTATCCATTATGAAATATTATTTTGCGTCTTGAAATTTACACTTACTATTTTTTTCATTTAAGAAAATGCCCCTTAATAGAAGAAATGTGACATTTGCTTAAAAAACCGCAATATACACCCTTGAAAAATTAAAAGGTAAAAATTTTAATATGATTTTGAAAATCATTGTTGATAATAATATTGTTGTTTAAAAATAAGATAATATATATTTCTCTCTTTTATATACAACGATATAAATATTTGCACATTATTGCAGGTCAATTTTTTTATTTTATTATTTTTATTAATCATTTTTTATAAATTTCACCAACTAAAAAAATAAAAGGTAAAAAAAATATTGAGTTGACATATAGACACTTTCATTGATTTCATTTTCTCATATAATTTATCTAATAAAAAAAACCAAAATCTTAAAAAAAATTTAAAAAAATAAAAAGGGAAAAATGAAAAAAAAACTCATAAAAAGTACTACATGAATAATTCTAATGAGTTTAATATATTAATTTCTTATTATAAAATAATTTTACTAAAAAATATCTTAATTAGAAATTTAAAAGTAATTAATGTTATTTTTAGAATATCGTTAACAAGTACTTATAAGTACCAATTAAAATAGTTAAATTACTATTTATAAAATAATGTGTTACAAATAAGTTAGGTAAAGATTTTTGAAATACACTTATCAGGAAATTGTTTTAGATATATTTAAAATAAAAAGATGATATATCATTACTAATTTATTTTTTATTATGTCATGAAATTTTACCTCAACGAAACGTTTTATAGGACTAACCTTTCTAAAAAAGTATAGGTAAAAAGTAAATAGGTTTGACCCAAATGCCCAATGTTCAAAAAAGGAACAGAGAAGACCAAAATTTGAGGCCCAAAGTAATTGAAATTTTCTCGTGTCAGTGAATTGTAGTACAAAGGTAAATGCAAAAGTGAGAAAGGAAAAAAGGATAGCGCATGTGATCCGACAGGAAAGACGCCCGTTTCATTGATTCTCAGTGTCTCACCCTCCCTATTGTTTTTTTATGTAACCGAAAGCAAGGAAGAAAACGACCAGACAAAGAGGGAGCAAACCCAAGCCGAAAGAAAAAATGCCAATAATTTCCATTACTTCAGCTACCAAAATCACCTTTCTTCCCAACTCCATCCCCTCTGTACCTTCATTTAAAACAAAATCTAATGGTGGGTTAGTGGTAGAATGTTCATCGAGGCCACAGAAGAAGGCAACGAAGCATCACATGAAGACAAGGCCGCGCAAGACGCAGCCATGGGACATAAGGAGGAAACCCACCGTTTACGCTCCTTTGCCTCCACTCCCTCCTGATTGGACCCTGGTTTCGAGCGGTGATGCTGATGATGGTGACGATGTTGTCGCTGGTGTTAATGAGGTTGGTCTCACTGGCTCTGCTCTACAGGCACCTGTTTCAAGTGGGTAGTTTCTTGTTTATCATTATGTCGGTTGTGTCGTATTTGTTTGAGGTTTTTTGTTTGGTTCTCTGGGTTTTTGTGCTTACTTATTGGCTTAATGTTTAAATGACATGAAATTGAAATTGAAACTGAAACTGAATGCACCCAGATAAATATGTAAGTTTTTAACCTCTCTTAAATTTCGAGGTGGATTTGTCTATGTTTATTTTAGTTCCAGTTTCTGTAAGAAATTACAATTCTTTTATAGATCGGATTTTATCGCTGAAAATAAAAATTCAGCACGCCTTCATTCTGCACTCTATTATCGGTAGATGTTGGTCGATTGCACCAAATGCTCTCCTGTTACCATGTTACCTGTAACAGCAAAAGGGTAATTACAGAGTAAGAACAAAAAAATGGAGCACCACAAGTTGATTTCCATAGATCTGTTTACATCATAAACTATTTAGTAGGGACAATCCTACCAGCCTGATGTAATTACAGAATTTGGAGGTTGGGATCTTTTGTGCTTTGAAATGCACCCTCCTCCAGCCCCTAGCAGGAATTACATGGTGCTCTATGCAAGGTAACGAAACAAGCACTGAGACATCATCAACTTGCAGATGATTGTTGAGACCATCTGATGGTTTGGAGTTTGGAACAGTATGCCATCTTTTAACATCCTGATTCCTGAAGGTTTTAGAGAGTTACTAGTATTATCTTTTCTTGCATCGACTCTGCACAAGGCTCAAGAGAATGTCTGTTAATGTATGTTCATTCCCTGGCATTTTCCCATGTCCTGCAATATTTCACAAACAATCTACCAGCCTGATGTAATTACAGAATTTGGAGGTTGGGATCTTTTGTGCTTTGAAATGCACCCTCCTCCAGCCCCTAGCAGGAATTACATGGTGCTCTATGCAAGGTAACGAAACAAGCACTGAGACATCATCAACTTGCAGATGATTGTTGAGACCATCTGATGGTTTGGAGTTTGGAACAGTATGCCATCTTTTAACATCCTGATTCCTGAAGGTTTTAGAGAGTTACTAGTATTATCTTTTCTTGCATCGACTCTGCACAAGGCTCAAGAGAATGTCTGTTAATGTATGTTCATTCCCTGGCATTTTCCCATGTCCTGCAATATTTCACAAACAATTGCTGAGCAAATCAGTATAAAAATGAAGTTTATTAAACAATTACACAAACCTTGAAAATTGATGGATGATTTTTTTTTTTTAAATTTTTAGACTTAATAAATTTTTTATTTTTAAAATAAATTAATGTGAATGAATTAAATTAAACTTTAAATTCAAGAGCATCATCATATAAAAAATCATATAAAGACCACTTAATTTGTTATGTCCCTATACGGAAATATAAACCCATTCTAAGTAGGTTTGCCTTGTTAAATTTTTGTTTTAAAAAAATTTTATTTACTTTTTCCAGAGAAATTATATAGTATTTTGTTTGACTGAAAATCTTTGGAATTGAGGTACTTTTAAAATTATCGTTAGCAAAGTTGCCACTAATTGGGAGGGACTTTGATGTTTTTGTCATGCAATCCTTTTCTCTTAATCTTAGGGAAGGTTCGATGAAGAATGCTGTTGTCTGTTGTTCTCTTGCGTTGCCACAATTTATTGGTGGGTGCCAACTTTTTTCATGATGCTGCTGAGAATCATTTGAAGGTATTTTCTATTTTTGGTCGTATTCTAACATTTAAAACTTTCAATTTGAAAGGTTTCTCTCAATAGCGGATGGGTATTGCTTTGCTTGCTAGTAATTCACAACTCCAACTTTGGACTTTGGATTGGTGCATATCATAATGAAAGCAGGCCATCATGCCCGTGGGTCCATGATTTGATATCTCAGTGCACTTCACTGCATGCTTTTAGATCCTAACCTTAATCTGTCCAGAGCAAAAGTTCTTTAACATCATATTCATAAGATAAGTTTTGTAAATATACGAAAAATAGAACTTCATTAGGGTAGACACCTCAATATGTCCGGGTCTATTATATTTGAATTTTGTAATAAAAAATAAAAAATAAAAAAAAAAAAATTAAAAAAAGAGAAAATAGGTAGTTGAGTTTGAATTTGGGTTAAATTTGAGATTTCTATTTGGATTAAGATTCTTTGGATTAAAACCTTATAAATACAGATCCTAATTGAAGAATTATGGACATACAGAAAATAGAGACATACAGAAGCACAGAGATCAGAAAAAAGCATGCTGAAGAATCAGAAAATTTGTTTGGGAATTTTTGCGGGTTTAAAAAAAGATTTTGCTTTTAGAAATTTTCTAGAAATTTCCATATTCCGGTGGGATTTTTTTGGCGGAGTTTGGAATTTTTCCGGTGAGTAATTCTAGTAGATTTCTAGATTCCGGCTTGTTCCTCAGTTTTTGGCGATAGATTTTAAAAAATCAGTAAACTTCTGGCCAACTTTCGACAAACTAATCTAGATTTCGACATAATTTCCATAATCTGATGAAGGATTTAACCAGAGTTCTTGAATCCTGAGAGAAATAGAGGGGAAAAAGAAAGAAGAGAGAGAGTGAAAATAGGAGGTTTGACGAAAAAACCAAAACTTGGAGCTTTTATATCCTCAGGAAATGGTGTCGTTTTGGAGCATAACAAACTGCAGGATCCGCATGTTTTCTAGCGGGTGACTCGACCCACATGTCAATCCGTTTTTTCGACCCACGTACCATCCAAGCCTTCCAACCGAGTCGAGCCATATACCGAGCCTCCAAGCCATCTTCTGAGCTTGAAGTCGAGTTGCACTGAAGCCGTTGAAGTTGAGTTGATCTTATTTTACTATTTTTTTATTTTACTTTATTTATTTACTTTTAAAGTTTTTTTTTGCGTGATTAAAATTTAGAAAAAATATAAAAAATATAAAACAAAATAAAGTATTTTTTTTAGAATAAATATTAATTATCCAATGATGAAATTTATAAAAATTTCAAATGGTAAATTTTTATAAAATTCATAAGTGAGAAATTTCTCTAAATTTATCTTAAATGGTAGAATAATTTAGATAAAGTTTCAATAACAATAATTAGTATTTATTTTCAAACAAAAAAAATAATAAAAATAAAAAATAAAAATTTTGAAATTAAATACAAATTACTCAATGATGAGATTCTTAGAAATTTTAAATGATAAATTTTTTAAGAAATCTCTAAGTGAGAAATTTCTCTAAATTTGTTTTAAATGGTGAAATAATTTAAAGGGAATCTCAATAAAAGTAATGGTAATATTTTCCAAATAAAAATTTTGATTAAAAATATTTGACAGTTATCCAATGATGAGACTCTTAGAAATTTCAAATGGTAAAATTTTTAAGAAATCTCTAGGTGAGAAATTTCTTTAAATTTATCACAAATGGTGAAAAAATTTAAATAAAATTTTAAGAAAAATAATTGTCATATTATTTTCTTTTCAAAAAAAATAAAAATAATTTCTAAATAAGCCCAAATAGTGGAGAATTTAGAAATTCAAAAAAAAAAGAAAAAAAAGAAAAGATATTTCTAATATGGCCAAAATGGTAAAATAATTGGATATATTTTCGACAAAAAAAAAAAATTTTCTGACGATGGAGCTTTTTTAAGAAAACAAATGTGATTCTTGAATATTTTTGAGATGAGAAAATATTTTTAAGAATTTTGTAAGATTGATGGAGAATCTTAAGAATTATTTCTAATATTCAATATTAGAGATTAAAACCATTAGAATCGAGACCCTATGATAAATTCAAAATAAAATGGTACCATCCTTTGGATGGGCATGTGGAGGTGCTATAACTTTTCCAACATGTAATTGAACTCTCGAACCTTATTCTGGTTAGTAGACCTAAACTTATTCTTTTAGGGACCCTCAATCAAGTTTATGAGCTTCTTAAGAGGATAGTTTCTTAAGGTGGTTAATCACACATAGTTAAAAAAGATTGGTGGTGACTCTTTTTGTTAAGTCTGGTTATAGATTTACAGATCTATATGTTATGACAGTTTGGTGACTTCATCGAGGATGCTATAGAGAGTCAGGCCATAACATTTTAAATATATCCTATCATTTGATCTAATGGTTTTACATTGTAATTATTTGTTTACTAACGTTTTTTTTTTATTGTTTCTTGTTTGATTTATGGGGTTGACAATTATATGTTCCTTCACACACATTGTCACATACATTTGCATGATATGAGCTCTATACTCGATTTCTGTCCCTCTTAGGAAAGAGTAAAGTACTTACGCTCTTGTGAGATGATAATTTTCGTAATGGCTAGCGAAATACTCCCACTCAAATTGAATTCTTTTCATTGGTAGCTTGTGGTGGGTGAGGATTAGATTGCTTTACTAGTCTATGATGGACAATGATATAAGAAACAATTTGAAAACCTTTAGTGGTCAAAGTCACCTAACCCTGCATATAATTTACACTTAAGAGGTTAGCCTTAAGATAGAGCCCTTCCTACCAATTGATAGATGTATCCCGAAATTAAGACACAAGAAGGAATAACTTGTAATTGTTTATCTAACTATTTTGTTTGTTTGATTTTATGCATCTGCATCATTTTCATATCATTTAATTCTATGCATCATTTTCATGCTCATGTTTTAACATTGTCATTTGCATCATTCTCACATATGGAATATTTACCATGTATCAATTATTGATAAATCATATCTCACACTTACATCCATGAAAAGCCAAATGCAATCAAAGTCTACATCAGTTTGTTGTGAATCTCTTCATCAATTAAAAATTAAGTCAGAAAAAAGTAAAAAAAAAAAAAATTACTTGCTTGAGGATTTTGTTTCATTATTGCTATAGAGAGTTAATCTCGATCTCTAATAAAATGACCTGACTGACTTAAATAATGTTTGGGAATGCATGAGTAGAATAAGTCAGAAGGCATTTGAGAACAAATATAGAGACATAACTTCACTGCTCCAAATGGATGTAAATAATAATCTGATTAGAGCCATCATTCAGTTTAAGATCTTTTTTATACGTGTTTCGTCTTCAATAAGTAAACATGTTGCCTACAATTGAAGAGTATATGGTCTTACTTCATTTTGATTTGCCAAACTCAAACAAGATTTATTAGTCAAATAAGGTGGGTTATCATAAAAGGTTGGTGCAAATACTAGGAATTAGCTTGCCTCAAGTTGATGCATGTGTCAAGATAAAAGGTGAAAGTAAGGCTATCCCATTGAATTTTCTATGAAACTTTATCCAGGGGTATTTGAATGATGATCAGGGGATGGTGGTAATAGCCATAGCTCTATATAGATTAGTAATATTTTCAAAAGTCATTGGACATGTTGATGTCACAGTGATAGACTTTATTGATCAGTTAGCATACAAAGTTAATGCAGCATCAACTATTTTAGTAAAAACCATTAATTCCTTGAATTTTTGTCATAGAAATGGTAAAGGTCGATTTAATGGGTACTTACAGTTGCTTTATGTATGGATGAAGAGTCACATTGAGTGTGAGGAAAGCTAGTTTCATAAACTATACCTTTATTCCAGTGTTTCAATCAAGGAGTTTTGTTGCAACACATGACCTAAAGCAAAGTCAAAAGAAAAATGGATTTCTTATTTTTATGTGTTGGATAGCCAAAAGATAATTTAGAGAGCACCTTCGATGCGTTATGACACTGTGTTATATAGTTGTGGGAATCAACCTTGG